GCATTCCACAGGCCACAATCAACAACCTGATCAACTCTATGCGACGGAGATGTGTTGCCCCGCGTGAGGCAAATGGTGGCCACACCAGATACTGACTGGTTTTCTGCCCCACCACCCCATAAAGCAAAACTGTGCACATTTCAGAGTGGCCTTTTATTGTGGGCAGTCTAAGGCACACCTGTGCAATATTGATGCTGTCTAATCAGCACCTTGACATGCCACACCTGTGAGGTGGGATGGATTATCACGGAAAAGGAGAAGTGCTCACTAACACAGATTTAGACAGATTTGTGAACAATATGTGAGAGAAATGGGTCTTTTGTGTATGTAGAAAAAGTTTCCTATGTTAGAGTTCAGCTCATGAAAAATGGGAGCAAAAACAAGAGTGTAGCGTTTACGTTTTTGTTCAGTGTATTTTAAGGCTTAAACTATAAAAAAGTTTATGTACATGGACTTTATATATCGCGGATTTTCACCTATCGCTGATGGGTCTGGAACGTAACTTCCGCGACAGGCGGGGGATCCAGAAAGGTGAATGCGTACTGACGTACCCGGTATGTCCACCCCTGTACATACAGCACCTTACTGAAGCACCACCACCACCAAAAAAGACAGCGGCCCTCCTTCCCCCCCATACACGCACCCTCACAGTAGCTAAGGTGGTGAAGGGAGAGGAGGGAATTTATGAATTAGGGGATGATTAGGAAGCCTGACTTGACAGGGCCATGATGGGTGGTTGATTCACTGGGCGTCAGGGTTCAAGCCGGAGACTTCAAACCGGCGCAACAGAGGCTGGATGATGGCGCAACACACTAAGTCTCCGGCACCTGCGATCCGGAGGTCGCTGGAGAGGTCGCTAGAGAACATATCTCACCAGCAGGTGTCACTCTAACCCCACAACCACCAGCACAAAGACTTAACGTGGAAGCGACACAAAAAAAACCAAAACGTGTACTGTGCCCTTTACACTGCTTATCTCCATTTTAAGCAACATATTAACCATCAGTCCATCCATCCATGGTGTAGTGCCATCTCTGAGGCTGCGGCTCTGTGCCAGCAATTGGAAGGTTGCTGGTTTGAATCTCATGAATGCCAGGAGGGATCCTACTCTGCTGGGCACCTGAGCTAAGCCCTTAACCTGCAACTGCTTCATCCTGGGTATGACGTTAATCTACATCCAGCCCTGCAAGCAGGTCCTCCAACTTACAGGAAAATGTGGGGGTTGGTGGCAGGGATTGGCACTGCAGCCACTGGAAAACACTGCAAAGTAGTGTGGTGCTGGTGTATCACCCACTGCATGGCTGCACTCTCATCCCTGAGGTGGTCTGTTACGTGGTGGGTGTGGCAACGCGCTGTCATCAGCAAACGCTCCTTACCTCCCTCCGTTCCCTCATCCATCCATCCATCCACTCACTCACCCTGGTTTGAGTGGCGTATCCCAGGCAACACAAGGCAGGATGTATCTATAGATAATAATGACCATCTTCTGCAAACCAGGATGAATCAGACAAACACTACATACCGTCTTCTCCTTTTTCGAATCTGCCACCTCAGACTCCTTCTTCTTCTTCTTTTTGCCCCTTTTATCCTCCTCCTTCCCACTCTCGGTCTTGGCCTTCTCTCTCTCCTTCTCCTTCTCTTTCTCCTTCTCCTTCTTGGTATCCTTCTCAGGCTTCTTCTTCATCACCTTCAGGGCCCGGTGGAAAAACTGCTTTTTCAGGAGCCTGCGACGAAAACCAGTGAAGTTTTCAGTCAGTTTTCAGTCAATTAAATTCCTGCTGTCTGGCAAGAACAAACGGGAACCAACGACTGCACCGGTGTGTCTTTTAGGAAAACCAAGTTTAATAAGCCACGCTTCTAGCGAAAAGACGGAAGCTCCCCTTTCTACATACAGCCAGCTGGCGCTTTCATACATTTTTTTTCTGCAAAGACAAGCTGCACACAGTGCGGCAAACAGTGACGTGCATCACAAACAAATGCAGATGTGGTACCGTTGATTTTAATCTCTAACAATATATAGAGCTTCGTATCGCAACGTTTTCACCACAGACCCTTCCTGTTTCGACTCCCTGACTCCACTGAAACTCCCTGCTATTCATATACACAGCAGCTGGCTAAGATTTAAATCACCGTGCTTTGGTGGAGGAAGAGATGTTTGGCCTTTTCCTATAAAAGGACCTCAGCACTGAACAGCTTGAGAAAACTGGTCTTAATCTTCATTATCACAGGATCTCGTTGGCCTTCATCCCGTAGCTGATTCAGGAATTAACCCAGCCCACGTTCAGCAAAAGGGAAAGCAGGAATTGAACTTAGAACCATATGGTTTGGGTACAAAAACAAGCACAGACCCTCTCCTTACATGCCTGAATCAAGCAAAGCTATCATTTATTTGCTGTTTGCACAAATACCAGTGCGGCTACATTGGAATGCTTCTTCTGGCATGTCTCATCTAATTCTCCTCTGAGGCATGTGCACAAGCATTAAGAGCTGAGAATGAAGTTTGGGGTCCATTGACAGGGTCAGGCCATTTATCCACCCCTTGGAGCATTTTGGGGGTTTAGGGCCTTGCCCAAGGGCCCAACTGTGATTAATCGGCAAAGGCCAAAGCTCGAACTGGTGGTCTCCTGATCACAGACAGAGACTTAACTCGCTGAGGCACACCAGTCCACAAAGAACATACTGCCCAAATGGAGACTTGAATCCTGGTCCCAGAGATACGAGGCAACAGTGCCAACCACTGGGATCGCCAAGCCACCCATGAGGCCAAACGAGGCCCCCAAAAGACCCTGCTGTCTGAACACACGAAAAGGCTCCAAGCTGTGCAGCAAGACCAACCCCAAATTCCCTCAGAGTCACCTAAACGTAAAAGAAGCCACACAAATGTATCTGGACAGGACACTAGCTGAGCGAAACACACAGCTCAGAGATACGGAAAGTGCTATTTAAGCGACGCCAAAATGCCACACGACATCATAGCAAGGAAGAAACGAGTGACTGGCGGCGCGGACCACGCACCGATGAAGTACTCCACCCGGTGTCCCATCATGTTGGTGGACTTGGTGGAGCAGTTAAATCGATTCTGTGCAAGATGAAACCCGTCTGCTATTCTAACCTCATTCCATAACAATTTATGGTGTATTTATATAAATTACTTATATCTTTGTAAAAGAATATGTGTGTGATGGGTGGTGGAGCTACCGTCCACATCTCTCTATCCATCAAAATGGGGCCTTGTTCCTCGCCTGTGTCTCTTCTCAACCCTGAAACCGAGTTTCGTTTCTCGCTGTCCCCAGTGAGCCCATCAGAAGCGACCCAGACAGCGATGACGTTGCCACACCTGTCCCATCACATCAGTTCAACGTCTTTATCTAATAACGAGAATGGTTTTCTCCTTCACTGTGGAAAGGATACGTTTCGCAACTAAACCAACCATGAAAACACTTCCTGTTATAACTGCCCGCCCATACGCCTTTATTAGCCAATGACATTACAGTCGTGATCTGATTTTTCCTTCCCCAATGTCCAATCATATTCTTCTTCCTGAACACCGTAGTTTGTTCTAGCTAAATGTAGCGGTGGTCGATGAATATAAAGTGTTGTATAAAAGGTAGCTAGCAAGGTATATATTGAATATTAATAGCCTGTGACATTATACTTTCATTTTTACAGTAACAGTAATATCGTGAATTGTTTGTAAATGGCATTATTTAAATAATTTTCTCAAGGCTAATCCGTCAAATAAGCTAATTGTAATGAGCGAATGACTTTTTTTTTAAAAAACACTCCATGTCAGATTATGTTTTTCCCATAAAATGAAGCACGTATGTAATTCTCGCTCTGGAAGAATTGTATTTGAAAAACGGAACGATAAGCGCCGTTTGTCAGAATGGTTTTATGTTACTTTGCTCTCAGTGCTTTCCTGCAATGTTTACAAAAAACTTTCGCACAAAAACGTGCAGTCATATTGAATAAGCATAATTTCTTAACATTTTATGTAATAAACGCGTTCGCTGCTTTCGCCAGAAAGATACAGTGAGGCTCTAACCGCAATGTTAGGTAACTGCCTGTCTCAACAGGACGTCCGTGTCCTTTTTCCCCGTAAGTTCTCGGCGTGAGGATTTAATTCTGGTTTGCTGGATGGAAGGAGCGGAAGAGCTCGCACGACGCCCATCTACATCCACCGAGAAGGACAGCAGCCTGGCCGAACTGGTGAGACCTCCCAGGCCGAAGGGGAGGCAGGGCAGGTCGCCCAGGAGACGCCGCGACGCCAAAAGGCGCCTCGATGATCAGGGGCGGCAGCCCTGCGGGATGGAGAGACGGCGGTTACCGGGGCAACCGGAAAACGCCGAACCTCCAGCATCCACAGCCGAGACAGCTGGCACCTCTCCGAAGAGATGGGATAGATGCAGGTAGCCATGGCGACCGCAGTAAATACTGTGACTCTCCCACGTGACTTAATGAGTGCCAAACATGTTTACCTAATCCCTGTATTAAGAGCTAAGAGTCCCATGGGGTTGACTAGATCTGAACTGTGCTAAGCTGTCCTACATGAATCGCTTTCTGCTTAATTGCCACAGATTCTGTCATCTCTGGTGTCAGTAAGATGGAAATTATGGAAAAACTGTATATATGTTTTTATATGTCCTTTAAGTGCTACTGAGGTGACGTACATATGTTTCTCTGTGATGTTATTTCAGGCGGGCACACTTTCTTCATGGACCATACCCAGCTACACATTTTGGACCTAAAGCTTGCATTCTTCCCAACCCCACTTCCGTCATGTAAGGCAACTAAATGCAAATATGAAAAGTAACCTTGTTTTTCCTGCCCCCCCTGTGTAACTGTGCAGCTGTGCTTAGAAAAACTTTGATTGTGTAAGTATGGCTTCATAGATAAGGGTGGTGTGTTTTGATTGGGTGGCTTTACCGCCCCCTGCCCCCGAATCTGGTGTTCTGATGACACCATGCTGTGCTGGGTAAGGGAACGGGTCTCCAAACCGTTGGGCTCGGCTTCAGTCATTCTCATAGCCCTCCGTTGCACCTTTTCTAAGGCAGCAATGTCCTTCTTAAGGTATGGTGACCAAACCTGCACACAATATTCTAGGTGGGGTCTTACCAAGGAATTATATAAATGTGACATCACCTCCCTTGACTTAAACTCCACACACCTAGATATATAACCCAACATTCTATTGGCCTTTTCTATNGGGTAAGGGAACGGGTCTCCAAACCGTTGGGCTCGGCTTCAAACCGGTGACCGCCGCCTGAGCACTATGCCTGCCTTCCACCCTCCTGAGCGCCAGAAGGAGAAATGGTAACCGCGGAAACGATGAATCAAACTTGCAGAGTAACCTGGAGTTTGGACCCCACGTGAAGTTTATTTTAAAATGCTTTGGTGGACATAGAATTTTGGGGGGGAGGGGCAATCCCAAAGGCAAGAGTGCAAATGAAGTGATTGTGAGGGAGATGATCCTTGTGTCATCTGTCAGAAAACAAAATGTATAAACTGCAATGAGAAGCGTTGGCTAAGATGAGGACTGGGTTACGGAGAAGTGCATGGTCAAGTGGAAGGTCTGCAGAATGACCTCTTCAGGCTGCCTCTGCCTGTGTCTCCCTCAGGCATATCCAGGACCCTGCTAGCCAGCGTCTTACCTGGAATAAGCCTCCAGAACATGTCCTGGTCATCAGGAAGATTCGCGACAAGAACCTGTTGGAACCGTTCAAAGAGCTGTGCAAGTTCCTGATTGAGGTATCAGGGTGGGCTTTCATGTGGGCTAGGGCTGTAGATATGAGTTGTTTGAGTGCACAGTCTCATGCACACGTTGAGTTGATCCATCTGTACCTTGTTCCAGTCATGTCAGCATGTGTTTTACAATAGATTTGTGCATCGGTGTTATGTGTACCGTTGAGGATGCCGTTGGCCTGTTCCAAAATAATTTTCACATTGATTGTGCTGACAAGCATAGTGCTTCCTTCCGCTCATGTTCATGTTTTATTTTTCAAGGAGCAACAGGACGATTTGATTATTATAGGTTTTGTAAATTGACGAAATGTTGTTATTTTTGTTTACAATTTGCAGCATTAGCATTTCAGGTCCAGAAGCTACAAATCCAGACCAAGATTTTATTTCTACCAACCACCTGAGTTACTCTGTGACTGTGACTCTTTATGCTCAACTGGTTGGTAGAAATAAAATCTTGGTCTGGATTTGTAGCTTCTGGACCTGAATTGCCCAACAATGACAATTTGTTTGGACAAAGAAAGACAGAAATATTAACTCCCTTAAACTGTAACTGGCAGTAAGGGAGAGTGGAGCTGTGCTTCTTCAGTGGGATTGGGGGTGTGGGAGGGGTAGGCATTGTAGCCTCTTTAATACTGCAAACCCAAGTGATGCAGGGAGAACAGAATGCTTTTCGTTCTGTTTGCACATATACACATGATTGAAATCGCACAAGCCCTGTCACTACAGAATTACACTTGCTATAAGCTGGCTACTCATTAGGCACACAAAGGCATTGTTGGAGTAGGCCGTCTCCACAGGGTCAGTGGATGAGAAGAGATTCACAGCTGACACGGGGAGAAGTTGCAGGTCACCGGTTTATTCTCTGACAGATTGCAATCCGGGAGCGGCCATCTGACATACATTCAGCATGTACAGGAGGGGGCTCTGCCATATGTATCAGCTGTATCCCTTTTAAAGCCCTTTGGGCATCTCCCCCCCTCTCTCGGTACCTTCCGTCTACATGACAATCACATGTTTGACACTTGCTCTAGTTAGTCGGTTAGTACTTGTCCTTGTGGAAGGCTACAGATACATAAGGGCCGCTGACATTTTCTGTCGCTCCCTCTATCGGTCCCGATTAGGTAACCTTGCCCTGCCGGCGCTAGTCAGTTCTCGTTTCAGTTAACTGCATTTTTTAGAATGAACCCCCCCCCCTTTTCACCATGCCCTGCTTTAAACTATATTCTGCTTTTCCTCTATTCATTGTATGTTCTTTATAATTCTATTGAATCCCACAGCATCTTCCAGGTTATGATGCACCAGCCGCCCCTAATGTTATTCCATTTTATTGGAGTGTAATTTGCTGGTGTGAGTTGTGATAGATGTTTTGTGTGTGTCAGTCAGTACGTTTACTTGCACAGCTAAGTCAAGCTATGGTTATAGCTTTAATAAGCCATTTAATTGGACTACTGTCCTTGTCCCAGTATACATGCATGGGAGAGGAATTGATTTATTGACCGAAGCATGATTGACACCGATACAATAGGTGTCGATATGGCTCCTTTCAGCTTGTTAGTATCGGTCTTTTTCCGGTTGACCTATTACGTCACAGACGTAGAAAAATAATGAAATTACTTATTTTAAACTGATTCTTAAACGTATGCTAGATAATCTTGAAAATGAATAATCCATAAAATTGCAAATTGGACAGTTTCACAACGCTGTACATTTCGCACGTGCTATACGTCCTCTGCTTCTGCTACTTCCGGGTCAAAGCCCAATTCTGGAGCATGCGCAGAGCGCCTAGGCTTGAGTTTGTTAGTGTCTTAGTCTATTTGTTTTAGTGTGGTCGGACTAACATGTTTACATGTACTTAAAGTCCAGTTTTAGTCTGACTTTAATGACAAAGTTGATAATCGCCAGTTAGTAGGAACTGACGCTGAATTACTTGTGTGATATTATCGATTACCGATGGTAATCGCCCCAGAGAGAATCTTTGGGAATCCCCCCCCCCCCTCAGCAGTAGTAAGGACCCCACACACATCTCTGCCTGTTTCAGGAGAAACAGCTGGTGGTCTACGTCGAGAAGAAGGTGGCAGACGACGCGACCCTGTCTCAGGACGAGACCTTCGGCGCCATCGGAAACCAGCTGTGTATCTTCAGAGAAGGTGGTGCACGTTGTGTCGGCGCAGAGGTCATGTGACAGATGTGGCCACTTTGGTCATGTTCCACATTTGCCAATGTTTATCCTTCTCGCTGTACTCCGTCTTCTTAATGCCCAACAGGCTATGATGACATTTCGGACTGTATAGACCTGATCATCTGCCTGGGAGGGGACGGCACCTTGCTGTATGCATCCTCTCTGTTCCAGGTAATAACTGTATTCAGAAGGCTGCAATTACGGTGTGGTCGGTGGGGCTGGGGAGGCTGGAAGGTTAATGGGGAACTGGGCGGTATGTTCAGGAAGCTACCAAAATAACTGAGAGGCATGACTTGTATTGAGAGCAGTTGTCATAGGATTCGTTTATGGTTTCTTGAATAGGGTTCCCCAGTTCTGGTACTGGAGGGCCAGAGTCTCGCAGAGTTTGCAGATTTCCCTGCTGAGTCATACCTACTAAACTTGGTTATTAGCTGATTAAGATGTTTGAGCAGATAAGTCTGCAAACTGTGCTGGATTCTGGCCCTACATGACGGGGATTCTGGAAGCCAGGTCACTGTGTGAGTGAGTTTGATCATGTGCTGTATGCAGAAGATCTGGTCTAGTTGTAGCACATGGAAAAGGACAGTGCAAAAAAAGACATGGATGCTCAGATAAGTAGGATGATTGAGGGATATGTGGCACTGCTGGTCATTGTCTAGCAGGTTTACCTAGACAGGGTTGGTTTGTATGGACCCATCAGGATGAGAGGTTAGGTGAGCATTCTTCCACAGCCCTCAGTACGTGTGTCAGTACATGTGTGGTTCATGATGAAAGAAGCCTACAGGCTGTGTTTTTCATACGCCAAAGAGTTCTTGAAACTCTTTTCAGATGTGGCTTTCGTTCTCTTACCCCCTCAGTGACAAAAATACACAAACATGAAGCCAATCTGAGTGATTCACTTCATCCTGTGGTGAAGCATTTCTGTTCCAGTACAAGCAGAATGCTCCTTGATGATGTTGCCCCAGCCTCGGGGCTGACCTAGAATCTGTGCAGAGAGACTGCTCCTTTTGACGTCCCTTTATTTTACTAGTTGTCTGGGACTGCATGCATGCATGAGCTTTGCAGCCTAACCCTTTGTGGTTGTGGTCACATGACCAGGTGTGGCACAGCAGACAGCTCCGCTGCTCGATGCTCAGTCTAGTGGTTTTGTGGTATGTACTTGCTGTCTTATTCTCATGCAGACAGATGAAAATGGCTGTTTTTATGTCAAAAATTATTGCGAATTGCGTCATTCAAATGAGAATTGTACTAGGATAGGTCATTCCTTCATTTGTATTTCATTTGTATTTATATTTGAAAAGGTTTTAGCATTTCAAATTTGAATTAAAAAATTGCATTCCTTTACGATTAAAAATAGTTTGATCATCATTAGACTGACACATAGTGCTGCATATTAATAACAAAAATATAGATCTATTTTACAAGTCAATAAATTATTAGGTAAATCATTAGGCACTATAATGTAATACATAATGTAAAAATATGTAATGCAAAGAACCAAAGACATTAAAAGTGAGATATGAATCTTATTTGTTAGGTGTATAGTTATCAGCAATGCATTTGTAAAAATTTACAATACTGAGTATTAGGGCTGCACGATTTGGGGAAAATATCGAATCACGATTTTTCTGACAGAAATTGCGATTACGATTTGATTTGCGATTTAATTTTTTATGTCAAGCTTCAGTTCAATATTCAGTGTATAGTGATTTTAAAACATATGACGCAGCATGAGATACCATCAGTATTAACTGGTCTATATTCTAATGCAAGGATGGGATTTAAAGATGTGATGTGTCAAGTTAATAAAGTAATAATGAAAACAATTGCAGCAAAAAGAAAAATAGCGATCTTGCAGGTAACGCGTATTACCCTCCCAATAACACTAGAACCGCCTTTTCCCACGCCAATGAGCAAGCCAGAATTACTTTGGTGTATGCAGCCCTTTTGTTTGTGCTGTTGTGTTGTTAGCTGCTGTTATTAACACTATAATAGCACTCAAAAAACCGTAATGTTCATAACAGAGTGGTTGTTCTGTCCTGAAACCATAAAGCTGGAAATTTTTAAACGTAGTATGCATTTTATAAAATGTTGAATAAATAGAAGTCGTTTATTGGTGATTTCATGTTGGTCGAAGTTTCCGCTTTTTAACAGCTGTATACTGTTATTTTCTATACAAATAAATTCAGGTGAAACAAAAAAACGTACGTCTTCATGGTTGCAATTAAACTCTTTCAGACTCTTACGCAAGAAATCTTACGGCTAATCTATATTCCATTCTGAACTTAAAATTAGCTGCATCAAAAACGTTACGGCAGTTTGCAAACCCTACAGACTATTTACAAGGTAATAAAACTTACATACATGTAAATGTGTGTGCAGAACAGAGAACAGAAAATCTCACTCCATGTAGCTGACCAAAGTTGCCAACCCTGCATTTTATTTTAAATGAGAAGTAAAATGCAGTTTTCGACTGAAGCAGCTTATCATTTCTTTGCTTTGTTACTCGGACAAATACAAAACGAATGATTAAACATTATATGCGTCTCTTTTTGTATGTTTTCTAAATAAGACCGCGTGCCCATACCCAATAGCGATTTAAAGCGATATATTCTTTTAGTATTTATGTTAAAGCAAGACTTTTATTTTATTAATGTTGTGTGATTAATCTTTGGAAACACTTAAATTTAATAAGCACAAAAACATATGACATAAACACGACTGTATTGTGGGTTTTACGGCTTTTTTGGGGGGTCACCGACTGCGCTGCTGAAAGAATTACTGACTGTCTCATTGTTGTTTTGATGGGTTAGCGGTATACTAATGCTATTGCCTTTTAACAAAAAAAACCAAATGTATGATACGCTGAAGTATATTGCAGCTGGTGTTTAAAAGGAGCTTGCCGGTTCTATTGATGATAGGACCTTTCTGAAACAATCTCGGACCATGAAATAGGAAGGCAATTCACTTACAGCTCAGTACCGGAATCAGTATTTTTCTGCACTGCGAATGCAACATTTTCCTTGGGTTTCACGCGTTTGCTGTTTGTGGGCCTATATGCCTTCTTGGGCCACTTCTGATTGGTGAGCATGACTGGCACGCGAGAAGCACGGCGTTTGTGATTTGTGAGAATGACTGTCTCACAGGGAGCACGGCATGAATTTGTAAAACTATTCTCACAGCAGTTTTAAACCCTGGGTCCGACGTGCTGTATAATGTATATCCTAAATCGTGATTTTTGCGACTTGCTAATCGCGTTGTTACAAATCGTGATTTCGGTTTGAAATCGATAAATCGTGCAGCCCTACTGAGTATTTATAGCAAAATAACTACTGAAATTGAACATACTGCCTGGATTAAAATCTTTACCAGGGTTCCCGCGGGGTCTTAAAAAGTCTAAAATTCAGAAAGTTAAATTTAAGGCCTTAAAATGTCTTTAAAATGCCCAGATTTTCATCCTATGTCTTAAATTTAATTTACCCAAGTCTTAAAATTCTTACCTCCGTTCATTCCCAAAAATCGTTGTCCGCAGAAAATAAAATAGTAAAACGTAAAACTAATCTGTTGGTTGTGTTTTCTGGTCTGCACCGGTGTCTGCTTGGTAATAAAACTACAAATCCCATTGCGTGATCACTGCAGCTAGGCCAGTGGTCCCCAAACTTTCTCTGCAGGGCCCCCCTTTTCTAGATAGGAACATTATTGAGCCCCCCCATTCAAACTACACAGGTTCAGATTCAAACTTTATTTGAAATACAACTCCCTTTTCTAATTGAGCAAAACAAATGCAATTACAAAATACAAATGGTGCAATTTCACCACTATGGGGGGAAAAAGAGCAATCAATTAAAAATAAAAGTCCAGCATAAGTTTGAAATTATGCAAATGCAGATTTAACATTCCTGTTAATATTCATTGTCTTACGTTTACCGCATTTTGTTTTTAATGATAGCCGCAGGTTTCAGCCTATACTATAGCACAAGACAACACTAAATCATACCCATTAATTGATAGTCTCCCTGCACTTCATGTAGAAAATTTTAATCCTCGTTTTTCATGATATGGTTAGATTTTTTG